TTCCCTGCCACAGAAGAATTAAAAATAGCTGCTGAAATGTTGTGCTGAGTTGAAGTTTCATCTCCATGAGCCCTTGGCACTGTCAGTGCTACACCACAGAATCATGGAATTTAAGGGTTGGAATGGACCTTACAGATCATCTAGGCCCTGGGCATGGACAGCTCCTCACTAGATCAGGCTGCTCAAGGCTCATCCAGCCTGGCCTTGAACACCTCGGACTTGAACCAGGGTTAGGGCAGCCACAGCCTCCCTGGGCAACCTGTGCCAGTGTCTCACCATCCTCACAGGAAAAAACCTTTTCCTCACATCCAACCTAGACTTCCCCTCCTTCAGTTTGAACCCATTACCCCTTGTCCTGTCTCTGCAGCTCCAAACACAGAGTCCCTCTCTGGCTCCTTTCCTTGTAGCCCCTTCAGAGATTGAGAAGTTGCTCTGAGTCTCTACACAACCTTCTCTTCTCCAGGCTGAACAGCCCCAACTCCCTCAGTCTGTCCTCAGTGGGGAGATGCTCCAGTGCTCTTAGCAACTTTGTGGCCTCCTCTGGACTTGCTCAAACAGTTCCATGTCCTTCTTATGTTGAGGACACCAGAACTGCACACAGAATTCCAGGTGGGGTCTCCAGTGTCACCAGTCACGGTACTGGAAGCTCTGACTGCCAAGCACAGATTAACTGCTGACTACTCCATGGTTCTGTTACACATGAAATTGCATCTTCAACCTCTCCCAACCCAAGCTGACTGGAAAGGGCACAGTCTTATACAGCAGCTCATTTAAGATCGGAATCTCAGAGATATCATTACTCTTAAATTACACACTCTATTAAAATTTGGTACTCACAGTAGATGAGGAGGAGTTCTTATCCGGGGCAGCATATCGGAAAAAGGTTCCAACTTTGTCCACAGACACTGGACTAACTTCTTCCCAGCCATTCACTCTCACTTGCAGCTGATGAATTCGTAGATCATGTGTGTGCCTGCCAGGTCAGATCAAGCTAAATTACTATACAGTGTACACCAGATCACACCAACAACATCCTCAGGATTCTGATAAACTATCTCACTGAAGAGAGTCTCAAGTTTTGCTGTTTCATGGATAAAGATGACCTGATTTTATCAATTTAACTGCTCCACCTTTCCTAATGAACACACAGAAGTACAACTAGGTCCCATAACCAAAAATAAAAGCATGCTACATATTTGTTAACAAGTTCTAGTTCTTCACTCTGATGACACATGTTCAACAACCAATACAGTCCCAACCCCAGGCCTGTGCAATAAAGAACATTTGTTTGTAATTGAGGTCCCCAAGTCTGTCTAAAAGCTTAAAATGATCCAACTCACACCTAGAACTGCTGCCACCAGTAGCAACAGATGCTGCTTACAGACAACTGATAATTTCACTCTATACAAGAGTTTTACAAACAAGAACTAAGCACTAACAGGGGATTTTACACTTCTTAAGTTAACACTTGCTAGTGCTCTCACAACTATGACCCTGTGTGTTCCACATACAAGTGTGTCAAAACATCTCACAGCCTAATCCCTTCACCTGTGTCTGAGTTTTCCTCTGGCTTCAAACTCAAATGGCATTTCCTCCCCAGTGATAACTTCTTGCCATTCACTGACATTATGGGCATCATCCAGCAATGTCCCGTTTTCCTCAGGAACCACACCTGGACTCCCACTGTGAGACAGTGCAGCCCTGGGAAGGGAAACACAACATGTTACAAACTTCAAGGAACAGGTGGTTTTCAGTCTGCTTCACTCCTGCAGTGAACACATTCACATCATGGAGGTGTTTGCTTTGCAAATTCTCTTTGGCCACATGTTTTTAGTAGTAAAACTATCTCACTGTCCAAAGAAAAGGCTCCTAACTAAGTAAAACTGGGAGTTGCCTGTGTGTCTCTGCAAAACAAAAGCACTGAAAACAACAGTGTCTGGCTGACATGGAAGAGAGGACAGACAAATATCATTCCAGTGATCCCCAAGAGCTCCTTACCGGGTCGGGGTTGTGGTCAGGGTGGCAAACCACAGGGTGCAGCCAGTGTGATTCCTCAGGGCAAAGGGTACAAAGGGCTGCCTACGCTTTGGAGTCTTCATTTCAGCTACAAAACACAACACAGACTCGAGTGAATGCCCCAGAGAAGTGTTCATCACATGCTCATGCAGGATAGACACAGTGGCTGGAGAACCACAACCTGCCCTAACTGAAGGAAAACAGATTGAAGGAACAGGATATCAGGTTACTTCAATGGTATTTTAAATGAGTAACTATTCCAGAAATGGTATAAAACAAACAGAAAGTTTTCCCCTTGGAACTGAGCCTAATCTACATGTTTTTTGGTTTCTTCATATTAAGTCTTACAAAATATTATGCCTCCAGTTATACCTAACATGTAGAAAATCTAACTAAAACCCCCAAGCATAGTAACTTTTAATGTACATCCAATGCTCATGAAGTACCAACCACATATTCACTTGTAATTCAGACTTATGTTGTATTTAATGTGACAAATACAGAATTTTCAGCCCCCTTTAAATGGGACTTTTATCCTCAAAGACTGAACAAGGAGAAATGTTTTCCTACAGAGGATAAAGCTCACTAAAACAAAGCATGAAAAATAATCTGAGTGCAACCAAAGGCAATCTGGTTTTGTTAAACTGCTGGGACAGCAAAACTCCAGAAGAAGGCACTTTACCTCCCATATTTGACTTAGATTTCTAAGCATGCATTTCTGACCCAAGTGTTACTCTCATCTTCCACACTGCAGTACACCAGACCTGTGAAAATACTTACTGTGTTTGGCCAGAAAAAAACTTCTGGCAGAGTCCTGTGACTTACTTAAAGAGGAAGATAAATGGCTTCTACCTAAATACAGACATTGCTTGGTATGGGAGAAGTAGAAAGAAGGCACATACAATAAATCAGCTGCTTAAGGAAAAGGGAAGGCAGAAATGAAATCTATGCCCCAGGACTGATCTATTCCCCAGGACTGATCTGCAGTGGCTCCAGAGGCTGCTGATACTCAGGACAAGCACTGCTTGCTGGAGCCTCACTGAGCCATCCCAGTGTCTAACTGGGAGCTGCCCCAGCACAGGGTTACAGGGGCAGCAAGGGGTGACATGGGAAGAAGAAGGAAGTGTTTGAAGGAATCACTGATGATTACACACAACTTTCTTCCAAATCAGTGACAACAAACCCCTACATACCCCTCACCCCATCAGTGGAGACTTAAATCTGATCTAAAGCTGACAAAGTTCTCCCCAGTGAAATGGTAAGAAGCTGAAATGAAAACTCTGCTTTTTGCCAGCTGCAAATAAAATAATTTTTTCAGTGTTGAGCTGGACTTGATACAATTTTTTGGCTAGCCCAGGTTCTGCAGAATTACAGACCAGAAGCCAAATGAACTTTTAGTCTGGTGTTTAATCGATTGCCAATTTATTGCTGGAGACTTTTAAAAAGAGTTTTTGGGACTTTGGCCTGATTTTCAAATGAAAACATAATGTAAAAGTTGTATTTTGAAACCAGTGCCTGGAAAAAAAAAAAAGAACTACCAGTACAAGGAGGTTTTTTTAATAATGAATTCAGCAATTTAGCTGCAACGCCCACTGAAAGCCAAGCAAGAGATATTAGAGGTTTTGCTGTTTGTTTGATTCCTTGAATAAAAAAATCTTGAAAAGTGTTTTAGAAAAATCAGTTCTTCTGTCATTTTCCATTTTGAGTTTCATAGAAAAATCAGTTCTTCTGTCATTTTCTATTTCGAGTTTCTTCTTTAAATTCAGAGAAAATAAACTCACAAAAAATATTTCAGATGTAGGAAGCTTTTCTGTCCTTCTGTCCTTCCATTCAGTAGCTTTTTTACAAGCCTACACATTTATCCACTGTGCTGTTTGTCTTCCAGAATGTCAAAACCTGAAAACTCTAACTGCATAGTTTTGCCCAAAGCCTGGGCTGTCAAATATATCCCAAACAAATTAACAGGGTATTTATTAGGAATGCTTTGCTTCCTAAGGACTTACTGGGAACAGATTGTTCCTTCTGAAGGCATCTTAAAAGTTTTAAGTAGCTAAAGATGCTGAATTAGGCATAAATATGTATATTGGACATAATGTTGGGTATTTTTAGAATAGAAAATAAAATATTGTGATTTTATGATGTTGTTTTAAACCACATTACAGTGTCCCTCTAAAAAAGGGACACTGAATAGCCACCAATTCATATAACCTCCCTCAAAAACAGTTTTACAACACAGGGTTTCATATAACCTCCCTCAAAAACAGTTTCACAACACAGGGTTCACAGAATCAACCAGGCTGGAAAAGA